CCACGCTATATTGGTTAACTTGCTGTACTGATAAATTCTACCACATATTTAACAACAACAACAATATATATGTATATATACACACACACATATATAAATTCTCCCAGAAAATTGAAAAAAAAAATAGAAGGTAATAGTTTCTATGAGGCTAGCATTATAGTGATAACAAAACCAGAAAAAGATGTTACAAGAAAACAAAACTACAGACTGATATCCCTCATGAACATAGATGCAAAATTTCTAAATTATGAAATAATTCACTATTATGAAAATAAGGGTCAGGTCACAAATTGGTAAAAATATTATTTGAATATCATATATCTGATACAGAACCTATATTCAGAGTATATGAAGAATCTTCAAAAATCATAGTAAGAGGAGTGCCTAGGTGGCTCAGTGTGTTAAGCGTCCAACTCTTGATTTTGGCTCAGGTCATGATCGCAGGGTCATGAGACCGAACCCCAGAGTGGGCTCCATGCTCAGTGCAGAGTCTGCTTATCCCTCTCCCTCTGCTCCTCCCCCTGGCTCATGCTCTCTTTCAAATAAATAAATAAAATATTTTTTAAAAACCTCAGTAATAAGAAAACAAACAATCAACTTAAAAAAAACATGGGCAAAGGATTTGAACTGACTCTTCATTAATGAAGATATATGAGGGAAAATATGCAAATGAAAAACTGGTCAATATCATTAGTGGTTATGGAAATGTAATATACAACTACAGTGAGATACCATTACAATATCTAAAATTAGGGGTGCCTGGGTGGCTCAGTCGTTTAAGTGTTTGCCTTCAGCTCAGGTCATGATCTTGGGATCATGGTACTGAGCACCATGTTGGGCTCCCTGCTTAGCAAGGAGTCTGCTTCTCCTTCCCTCCTCCCCCCACTCCAGCTCATGCTCGCTCTCTCTCTCTCTCAAATAAGTAACAAAATCTTTAAAAAATATATCCAAAACTAAAAGACCTGATTATACCATGTTTATGTTGGTGAAGATGTGGAGAAAGTAGAACTTTGATACATGTTCAGCGGGAATATGCCATGGTACAATGGTACAACTACAGTGGAAAACAGATCAGCAGTCTTAAAACACTGAACATACCTATCATATTACCTGGACATTCCACTTCTAGGTATTGACCCAAGAGAAATAAAAGCAAATATACATACAAAGACCTGCACACAAATGTTCATAGCAGCTTTATTTGTAACAGACAAAAACTAGAAAAAACCCAAATATCCAGGAGAATGTGGAAATTGTACTGTATCCATATATTCTACAACATGAATGTATCTCAGAATCATTACTTTGAGTGAAAGAGAGCAGACAAAAACGAGTACGAGTACATACTTATGATTTCATTTATATAAAACTCTAGAAAATGCAATTTACTCGATAGTAAAAAAGTTGATCAATGAAGGAGAGAGGAGAGATGGGAAAGTGATTAGAAAGAGGCATGAGACAACATTTGATGGATATGCTCATTAACTGGATCATGGTAATGTTTTCACTGTGTATACATATGTCAGAATATATCAAATTGTACCTTTTAAACATGTACAGTTTACTGTATTTTAATTATACCTCAGTATAGCTGTTAAAACTTTTTTCTTGTGAAGTCTTCTTTGAAAATACAGTAGATCTATCATCACTTGAAAACACACAGGAAGGACAGTATTTTAGTGGTACTTAAAGCATAAAGATACATAGATATGAAGACAAGTCCATAGCTAACATCATACTAAGTGGTGAAAGTTAAAACCCTTTCCTCTAAGATCAGGAATGACAAGGACGCCCATTCTCACCATTTCTATTCAACACAGTACTAGAAATCCTAGACATAGCAACTAGACAAGAACAAGAAATAAAAGGTATCTGAATCAAAAAGGAAGAAGTAAAATTATCTCTTTGTGTAGATGATAGGGTCTGATATATAGAAAACCCTATGACTCTACCAAAAATGCAACTAATACATTAATTCAGTAAAACTGCAAGATACGAATTCAACATACAGAAATCAGTTGTGTTTCTATACACTAACAATGAACTATCTAAAAGAGAAATTTAAAAAGCAATCCCATTTACAATAGCATCAAAAGCAAAGAATACTTAGGGATACATTTAACCAAGGAGATGAAAGACTTGTACACTGAGACAATAAGACATTGATGAAAGAGATTGAAGAAGACACAAATAAATGGAAAGATATCCCATGATCTTGGATTGGAAGAATTAATACTGTGAAAATCTCTCTACTACCCAAAGCGATCTACAGATTCAATACAATCCCTATCAAAATTCCAATGGCATTTTTCACAGATATATATATATATATCCCCATATCCTAAAGACCTCAAATAGCCAAAACAATCCTGAGAAAGAAGAACAAAACTGGAGGCATCTCACTTCCTGATACAAGCTATATTACAAAGCTATACTGATCAAAACAGTATGGTACTGGCAAAACAAAACAAAAACAAAAATGGTTACAAAGAACCAGTAGAGCAGAAAAAAAAGAGAGTCTAGATATAAATCCAAGCATATGTGGTCAACTAATTTGTGACAAGAGCAGTAAGAACACACAATGGGGTGTCTTTACAATAAATGGTCTTGAGAAAACTGGATATCCCTATGCAAAAGAATGAAACTGGACCCCTATCTTACACCACTCACAAAAGTTAACTAAAAATGGATCAAATATTTCAATGTAAGGCCTGAAACCATAAAACTCCTAAAGGAAAACATAAGAGAAAATATCCTTGACTTCAGTCTTGGCAATGAATTCCTGGATAAGACACCAAAAACACAGGTAACAAAAGCAAAATAAACAAATGGGACTACATTAAACTAAAAGCTTTGGCACAGCAAAAGAAACAATCAATAAATGGAAAAGGCAACCTACAAAATGGAAGAAAATATTCGCAAAATATATATTGGATAAGGGAGCAATACATACAAAATGTATAAAGAACTCACACAAATCAACAGCAAAAAAAAAACCCCACAAATAATCTAATTAAAAATGGGCAAAGGACGTGAATAGACATTTTTTCCCAAAGAAGACAGAAAATTGGTTAAATGATCCATATAAAAAGGTGCTCAACATCACTAATCATCAGGGAAATGCATACCAAAACCACAATGAGACATTACTACATAACTGTTAGAATGGCTACTCTCAAAAAGATAAGAGATAGGGGGCACCTCGCGGGCTCAATCAGTAGAGCATGCAAGTGACTCTTCATCTTGGAATTGTGAGTTCTAGCCCCATGCTTGAATTGCACTACTAAATATTTATCCAAAGGATGCAAACATAGTAATCTGAAGCGGCACACCTCCCAATGTTTATAGCAGCAATGTCCACAACAGCCAAAATATGGAAAGAGCCCAGATGTCCATTGACTGATGAATGGATAAAGAAGATGTGATATATAAATACAATGGAATATTACTCAGCCAACAAAAAGAATGAAATCTTGCTATTTGCAAAGACATGGCTGGAACTAGAGGGTATTATGCTGAGTGAAATAAGTCAATCAGAGAAAGACAAATACCATATGATTTTACTCATATGTGGAATTTAAGAAACAAAAACAGATGAACATAGGGAAAGGGAAGGAAAAATAAAATAAGATGAAAATAGAGAGGGAGGCAAACCATAAGAGACACTGAACTCTAGGAAACAAACTGAGGGATGCTGGAGGGGAGGTGGCTGGGGGAAGAGGTAATTGGGTGATGGGCATTAAGGATGGCATTTGATGTAGTGAGCACAGAGCATTATATGCAACTGATGAATCACTAAATTCTACCCCTGAAACTAATAAAGTATGTGTTAACTACACTGAATTTAAAAAAAAATTTTAAAAATATATAGTTAAAAAACCCTCTTATATAAAAAATAATATATATTTTAAATTTTGATATTTTACATAAATATATTAACATATATTTTAAATATGGTTCTATACTTCCACTTATTTTTCCAAATCATCAAAAACCCTTTTACAGCCAATGCAATGATCAGTGACTTAAAAAGATATTTTCTAACACAATTTGTATCTTTACATATTATAGCATATAATATTAATGCATAATCATTGAGATAGTCATTTCCGGAGTACAAAACCAAAATCCAAATTAGTGTACCAAGGAATTTTGATGAATCATTATTTGACCTCTAGTTGTAAATAGGAATACTTCAGGAAAAATATTAGGAACAGTTTTAAAAACTTAAAACACTTATAAATCAATTAAGTACATGGAAATCCCAGTAAATGCAATTCAATCTACACCAAAGATGAACTAGACTTTAACACTATTTTAACAATTCCCAAGTAGCTACAAGTATTAAACAAAGAGATATACATACTTATGTTAAATTAGAACAACTACGGGATAGAGATAAGAAAAATCTTAATCCACGTAACAATGGGGAGAAGTTCAGAGTGTGTCTTATTTCTGTGTCTAATCCTTGGTCCAAGATCTTTGTCAGTCAAAGTCTAGTCTTTAAAATTTCATTTATCATGATTATTATCCAAGAAAGATCTTTAATTCCCTAAATGTCCCTTAAATAATGTTTATAAAATATATATGTCGCTGCCTACAACCATTTGTATCAGCCAAGCAAAATAAGTAAGTATTTAAGGGGTACTGATGACAAATAATCTGTCACTGTGTAGGTCAGCTCTCTTATTAATAATAATAAAACCTGACACTGACACACCACCATTGTACAGCGATTTCATATCAAGACTCCAAACACTTATTCATTTATTCTCCCAACACTTCTTTGCATTGTTTGGCAAACATTCATCTCCATCTTGCTGATTTGTAAAGCAAAACCCTAACTCATAAAATGACATGAACCTAGTGACTCTCTATGTTCTAACTCGGTCCATTTCTACCGGCCAGGAGGACGAGAAGAATAGATCTCCCATGAAAGAGTTTGGCTGCCCTGGGATTGTGAAACATCCAATTGGCACTTGGGTCTTATCTATTCCCACCTTTTTATAGGCGATCCAGTCAAACACCCTGTCAATATCTGTTGCCTGTAGCACTTCCTGTGATACTGGATGGGAACTGGCCAAGCCGTCAAGCAGCATCACTTCATGCAGAACATCCGTCAGAAACCTCTGTTTTTCCTGCAATACAGTAGATGGGGCAATATCATAGGTGGTTCATGGTTATGACAGAATGCATGTGACAACATTAACAGAATGTGTGTTACTTCATTGATGATGCTCGTAGGCCTATGTGGTGAGACTGAACTCCAAAGAGAACCCAGTAAATAAAATGCCTCTAAGTTACTCTAAAATGAAGGTGGTTGATTTGAGCACAACATGAACAAAATCAATGTGTTACAATGGGCCCTAAACAGATTTAAAAACAGTGGACGGTGCCTTAACAGTGGTTAGAGCAAATTCAGACAGTGGGCATGTAAATGAAACAGACTAAGCTTGTTTGTGTGTTCTACAGGATCAAGGCGACAATTCCAGTCCCAAATAACCTTTTTAGTTAAGTTCGTCAGAAGAATAAGAACTAAATTTCTGGATTTCAGGGCCATTTTGCTATTTATACCATTTATTGGTAATACCATTTGAACACCTTATTCTCTCTCACTGATCTGTCCACTTTTCTTCCCTCCTCCCCCGACCTCATTTTCTAACACACACACACACACACCATTTATCTTCTGAAAGAATCTCAGGAGACCACAACAAATAGCAAAAGACATATTGACATAAAACTGTAATATCTGTGGATATATATGCAACTTCAGGATAATGAACATAAAGTGGAGAGCAATAGGTATTAATAACCATTACCATAAAGTTATGAAAACAAATGAAATCATAAGACTTCTATTCTGTGTGATGTTTAGACCTTTGTATTTGCTCTGATAAGAGCTGATTTGTTATGTTAGAAATAAACTGTAAAGAAAAAGTACTTCTCTGTCGTTTTGTTTTAAGAAGCCTGCTTTAAGGAAACAGCTTGGGTTTTGTTAACAAAAATGCTGGCAGCTATTAGTCCTGGTCTCCTGCCTTCATTGAGGGAGGAGGGAGAGAGAAAAGAAGTTGCAAGAGATAACAAGGGCTAAATAGCCCCTAGGTAGTTGGGACCTGAGGAGTATCATTACAGAGATTAAAGACCACAAGACTTAAATTGCTATAGCTAATTCTGAGCTCACTCCTGGAGCCTCCTAGTTTTGAGCCAGCAGATAAACAGCATGTTATTTCTGAGTGAGTTGTAATTTCAAGCTGGCAGTACACCAATCCTGGATTTTTACAAAAATGGAAATGGAGAATAGCTATGCTAAAAAAGGAATAGTTAACTAGGCATTATATATGTGTGTTCTTTCAATCTGGCTTTAAAGAAGCATCTTACTTCATCATCATTTGTTCAATGATTTGGTATGTTTAATCAATAATTTAATTAGTTCTCCAGCCAACTGTATACTATAATGTTTATTTCTAATGGGATATTTTTATAGTCTGTGGACTATAGATCTAATTTCTTCAGTCCTTTTTTGGTCTGAGAGTTTCACACCAATGGTCTATACTCCATCGCACTGTACTGGGATTGAACGGTCCCAGAAGTCTGCTCCAGAGAGTAAGAGCCCACGGTGAGAAGTTCAAACTTACAACAAACTGACAATTATGACATAAACTAATACTGTATTTCTTCTCAAATTAAGTTCCTAATTCAAGACAAATTAAGGAGAGTGAAATTGGACCTTGTGATTTAAAATTTTAAGACTAAAAAGACAGATGGCCTAGACTGAGAGAATAAGAGAAAATCGTGTATTTCCAAAATGAAAATGTTAATGTTACTTTTAAGCAGGTATGCACTCTTGTTACTCATTCAATTTAAAAATGCACATTGAAACTATTTGATATTGAAATTAATGGGTGGGAACATGGAATATATCATCATACTTCAACTTGACCAATGAACACTTTTATTTATAAGAAATACCAATTGAAGATGTGGTTTTCATTCTGAAGGAAAAATAATATTCAATTCTTTAAATAGTGATTGCCCACTCCATTATGTAACTCAAACATCTGATCGAAACCACAGTGTAAAATAAACTTAAAGTGGTGTTTTATTTGAATCCTAATTTTTAATATTTAGCAACAATAAATATATATGATCAATATGAAAATTTAGTCCACATATCTTAGTTTGCTAGCAATGTGATTTTTAAATGATATAAAGTAAATGGCTAAGTAATTACAAATGTGAAACCTAAGGTAAATTTCTAAAATGAAACTCTCTTGTTTAAGGAAATATAAGTTATATATATGTTGCCTCATCAGTAGAATTTCAAGAAACTGTTTAAATTTAGTAATGTTGAGTCATTAGCCAACTTTTGGAGAAAATGACATTGTGTAATTGAGAAACAAAAAGCATTAAAAGAGATTAAAAGAGAGGAGAAAAAAAAGAAGAAGAAAGAAAAGACTGGCAGAAGAACACTCACAAAACTCAGAAGAGAGAACACTTTAAATTAAGGAAGAAAAAAAAATTCTAGCCAGAGGCAAACCCAATTTAACAAAACTACAAAGAGTTTCCAGGAGAGAAGGTGTTAATTTTTTATCAAAACTTGTGTCGTTATAAAATAATAAAAAAAAAGGTCTTAGCTTATTAGTCACCTGTTGGGGCCCTTCCCCCCTTGATCCACAACAACAATAATAGTAACAGCAACAATTACAAAGTATTGATTAATTGCCTACTGTCAACCTGGGACCATGAAAGTTTCAAAATAAAGTTCAAGAAATCCTGGCTCTAATATGAGATAAAAGAACAAACACTGAACAAAATAATGGTTTTCTCTTACACACGAGAAATGCCAAAGGAAATCTGAGGGAAAAAATCTGTAAAATGGAATTATTTATACAAAGTTTAATGGAAGAAGTAGAATTTGTTCTGATTCTTGAAGGAACTTTAAAGGGGTGTGTGTGTGTGTGTGTGTGTGTGTGTGTGTGTGTGTGTGTAGGGAATAATATATTTATGGTGCATATTTAACAGCTTTTATTCTAGTTCATATTTTAACGTCACCATGAAGCTATTCTATCAAAGCAGCACAACAAGGTAAAATGTGAAACTTTAAAATTTGTTTCAATAAATTTAATGTTGGGCGCCTGGGTGGCTCAGTCGTTAAGCGTCTGCCTTCGGCTCAGGTCATGATCCCAGGGTCCTGGGATCGAGCCCCGCATCGGGCTCCCTGCTCCGCAGGAAGCCTGCTTCTCCCTCTCCCCTCCCCCTGCTTGTGTCTCTCTCTGTCAAATAAATAAATAAAATCTTTAAAAAAAATAAAATAAATAAATAAATAAGTTTAATGTTAATAGTAAGAATAAATCCTACCACTCTAATATAGAGCCTTCTTGGAGTTGTTGCAATATGTGTCTACATTTAAACAGTTCAAATAATACCAAATATATCATTTTGTATTGAACTATTTTCAAAAAGATATTACATTTGAATTTTTGGAGAATAGTGAAAAGATTTTTCAGGTAGGTAAAGAAAGGGTGAATAAACTCAGAGCTGAGAATAACACATGGAAAAAAAGAAAGCCCCCTTTATTTTTTTTTATTCGTTCATTTAACAAATATGTATTAAATTCTTACTCTGTGCCAGATATTGTGCTGTGTCTGGGGAGGAAATATATGACTGAAACTTAGTTCCTAACCTTAAAGAACTCAAAAGTGTAAGAGAAAGACCAATAAACAGCTAACTGTATTACAATATGATGGATGTTATAAAACACAAAGGATGAAATGATTAATTAGTTCAGAAATGGCTTCAAAAGGAAGTGACATTAAAGTGGGTTGTTGAAGGATGAAGGGTTACTTAGATGAATGGGGGAAGCAGCTTTTTAAAAAAGGATAAATCCAGGCAGAGAAAACATGAAAAAAAGCTCCTCTGTGTGAATCCTCAGGTACCAGGTGGAAGAGTTTGGTCTTAATAAATAGGCAGTAGTAGGCATAATGACATAATAAAAGTAGTGTCTTAGGAAAATTAACTTATCTGTGGTATCCAGGGAGTCTTGATGTATGCAGAGAAGGGAGGTAGAAAGTGGCTATAGTACTCAGAGGGGAGGTGGTGATGATGTATTAGAACAAAGTGCTGCCGAAGGACTGTTGTATCTGAGAGATATTTTGGGTGAAAAAATCCACCAACATTGATACCTCAATGCCCTGGCTCCCTTAGCAGATGATGGAGAGAAAGTATTAAGAGATGACTTGATGGAATTTTTTTAAAGGGGAGCGGGAAGCTACTGAAAGAAATGGAGTAGTGGAAAAAAGGTTGCTTTGGAGGGCAAGTTAGATGGGTATTGAGGAGGGCACATTCTGCATGGAGCACTGGGTGTTATGTACAAACAATGAATCATGGAACACTACATCTAAAACTAATGATGTAATGTATGGGGATTAACATAACAATAAAAATTTTAAATAAATAAATAAAAAGATCACTTTTAGACATGTTACAGGTAATGTGACGGTAAACACCCAAAAAGCAATATGCTACAGGCAACTGAAAGTAAAGGCCTGCATCTAAGGAGCAAGTGTTAATCAACTTTTGGCAGTAAATTGTAGTTTGTATAAAAATATAAATAAAATCTCAGAATCCACTCTTTTTTTATTATTTCTTACAATATTAGCATTTCGGGCGCCTGGGTGGCTCAGCTGGTTAAGCGACTGCCTTCGGCTCAGGTCATGATCCTGGAGTCCCTGGATCGAGTCCCGCATCGGGCTCCCTGCTCAGCGGGGGGTCTGCTTCTCCCTCTGACCCTCCCGACCCTCCCCCCTCTCATGCTCTCTCTCTCTCAGTCTCTTTCTCAAATAAATAAATAAAATCGTTAAAAAAAAAAACAATATTAGCATTTCATAGACTGGTGTTTAGTAACATACGTAAAGGGAGTTATTAAGGAGGGCACGTACTGCGTGGAACACTGGGTGTTATACGAAAACAATGAATCGTGGATCACCACATCAAAAACTAATGATGTATGGTGACTAACATAACACAGTAAAATAAAATTTAAAAAAAAGAATTCTTATTGAAGCGTTAGAGACACTTGACTAATTATATTCCTTAACATCTCAAAATGGCTTCTGCCTGGACATGTCAAATTCTA